TGCACGCACGCACGTAAGCAGGTATACTCACGCATGCACGCACGCACGTAAGCAGGTATACTCACGCATGCACGCACACATGCACGCTTGCACGCACGCGCGCACGTAAGCAGGTATACTCACGCATGCATGCACGCACGCACGTAAGCAGGTATACTCACGCACGCACACACGCACGTAAGCAGGTATACTCACGCACGTACGGATGCGCGCACGCACGTAAGCAGGTATACTCACGCATGCACGCACGCACGTAAACAGGTATACTCAAGCATGCACACAAGCACGTAAGCAGGTATACTCACGCATTCACACACGCACGCACGCACGCACGCACAGCCATCGCAGCAGAACCTCTAAATCTGTCATTAATCTGAACGAAATATATGATGAAGAAACTCGAATATTAATTAACAAAATTTAGGATAGGCCTACTGTTAGGGTTACGGACGGGTAACACTGTAAAGGGCATTGCTACACAACTGCTCATCAAATTCAATCAAACTCATATCCATTACATAAGGGAGATGTCTCTCTACGCTCTCGATGAAATTTGTCATCTGAGCGAAATACATGACGAAGAAACTCGAATACTAATTAACCAAATTTAGCAAATTAATTACAGCACGCAATCTTTTAAGACTGCATTCACAATCAAAAATCATGAACAATTCACAAGTAAAATACACGTACGGCTATTGCGATCTAAAATACATGCAGTGGCGTAGCCAGTATGTAGCACTGTAGGCCCGGGCCTACACTTTTTTTGGCCAAGTTATCTTTTTTTTTAAAACACCCATAATTCAAATCCATAAGCTTGCTGGACGAGTTTAAGAGTCTAGACAGGAAAAACTATTGAAATGAACGTAGCAAGAATATGGCTAAATTAGGTGACATATTCTTCTGTCATCTAAGCTGTCATTTCTATCGCGTGCCGTTTCATTCAACACTCTACCCGCCGGTAGGATCCGATCTTGTCAGTTTTTTAACATTTTAACTCGTTCGTAACACTATTTTAACTCGTTTGTTTTTTGGGTTTAAAAGTGATATTGAATGAGGTGTCTCAAGTTAGCAAGAGGCCAGGGAACCAGAATGAACACTCGGGAA